TCCACCTTTATTCTTTTCTTTACAATAAGGCTTTCAAATAAGTCATGGTTGTACGGCAGTGAAGCATTGGTGTTGAACACTGATGTCATGCTGTCGTTGATGATGATGATGATGATGATGATGATGATGATGATGATTATGATGATGATGAAATTGCCAGAGCCAGCGGCAGTCAAACCGAAAATCAGCAAGATAGACAACCTGTTACGTTCGAAACGCTTGCAGTGTAAGGAACAAGTGGTCCAAATTACGAGTGTACCTTGTTTCACCTGTGACTACATTCATGGTAGGCAGCTGAGTTCGAATGATCAGACAGGAGGGCTCTGTCCATCTGAACTCCTAAGAAAATGGGTGGACATGTTTACCAGCAGAAGAGCACCAGACTACTACCCTGAAGTCAACAAATGTTCCGTTAATGTACACTATATACAGGCTAGAGAGGGAGGTTGGCATTATCACTGCGTAGCGCAATCCAACGTTGACGTTCTTCAGGACATTTGTCAACTCAAATTACCCAAGGACGTAATAACAGATGAAGCTGTATATTCTTAAGGTAACAGTCAGGACTAGTTTTTCGACGGAAAAAACTCATCGGAAATGTCTACCTTGGTGATGGGAGTAATGGGCCTGGAAATCCCAGCTTAACAAATGTGAAACGTCAATGAGGCTCGCGAGGACCGGCTACTGAAATGTGAGCTACATTTGAAATGCAAGTGAGCTGAATTGATGCGCAGAAGCGGGTACGAACTGAGAGTGATCAAAAGTACTAGGTCCAATCCAAAGTCGTACTACAATTATGTGCAATCACAACAGACGTTGATGGGGAAATTCGGGAAGATAAAACCTCTCAGAGAGTCCAAACAACTAAGAGCTGCACAAAGAAGTAGGTATTATTTCAGTACTTTGGAACGGCGTGTCAAGCAGACAAAGGTACTAGTGGTGTACCAGAATGGACTACATGGTTCGTACCCGTCACTGATGGTTACAGCATTATGATGGGCAAAGTCCATCTGAGGCATTAAAGTCTTTTTGTACCCAAAGCATTCATCTGAGAGTCACAAGACCTGCGAAGAATACAGCTTTGACGCCATTAGCAGAGTTGTTCAACAAGTTCCTCAAGGAAGCAAAACTACCAGAGGAAATGAAAAATGTAACCATGATGCCTGTATACAACGGTGGGGACCGAAAAACTGCTTCAATATGTAATCCTGTCAGTTTAAAATCGCTGGTGCTAGATATACTGGAGAGGATGATTAGGGACAAAGCTGTGGCCAATCTGACAACCTACAGCTCAAACGCAGCCCCATAACAATTCCCAGGCCACTGAAAACAAAACTGGATGACGTTCGGGAGAGCTTTACCACCAACCACTGCGCTTAGACGAGTGCTTTGCGATACATCTGAAAAGCCGGCTCATCCGGAAGCGCGTGAAAGAGCCAAAGTACGGTAAAGTAGGTAAGCACTAAGTATGTAATTTGCCTATGGATTCAGACGCAAATGCTCGTACACTCTTAAACCCCTATGGTCCCTTAATAGCATTACTTTGAGACTGGACAGAGGAGGATGACTTGAAGTAAGTTACCTGAATTTCCGTAAGACGTTTGACCCAGTCAGCCACAAACTGATGTTAGTCAAGGCGGGGAGTTTTACACTCAAATTAGGTGCAACTGAAGCTACAGTACTTTCTAGTGAGAAGGCAACGCTTCTTCACAATGAGTGATTCCACCTCGTAATCAGATTACTTCAAGGGTCACTGTTTTGGTTTCCACCATCTCTAATCCACGCAAATGATTTGGTAAAATACCTCGAAAATCCTTGCCAAATGTTTGTGGATGGTGTGAGTCTAATTGGCCACCCAAAAACCAGGCTAGTCAGTGCGAACTCAACAAATTCCATACATGTTGCACTATATCTGTCGCACATATGATGTATTCATGTTGCTTCAAATCCCCCATCGAACCCCTCCGTGATTTAACACCGTATTAAACCCGATGCCTCAACTTTGAAGCGCTCTCTATTCAAGCTTAACAGCAGCGTACCCGTCTAAAAGGCATCTGATGTTCAACTTGTGGCCGACTTTGTCTCTTGGCTCAGCGTCATTTGTTTTCTATAGTGGCTTTCCAAGCATTGCGGCGGCTAATACGTGTGGCTACTTCAAAATTTTGCAAATAGTATTGTCAATTTACAAAGTCTTTGTTTGGTCTCACCTTATGTAATGCGTACAAGCATAGAAGCGAACAAAAACATATATAAGGATGCTGCAGTGCTTTTCGTAACAGTTTATCTCATGGTTTGCTGGTCCCAGAGGGCTCCCTCACGAGGATGGACGAAAGGAATGTAAGCGGCTGTTTCTTAAGGAGCAGGAGGCTAACAGATGACCTCATTGATGCCACTAGTTTATTGCCGAAATGTGTTGCTGTCAGATTTGACCACGATTAGTCATACTCTAATGCTCAGTTTCACTGTCCTTCTAGTGTTAATACCAGAAGCTAAAGGAGAGACTCTATGTCAACAAGATCCTCGCTTAGGCTTACCACCTCGCTACGCTGAGTGGCCTGGTGAATAAGATTGACATTGTGATCTGTCGAAGAGTTCTCAGTAACCTTATGAATATTGTGTTACGTCTTATAAACGTTTTAATTCTGTCTGCCTGCGATTCGCTGAATTCCGCTTTTGAATAGGGGTAATCAACTGAAGACCGGGACCTGCAGTATACCATACTGTGGTTGTCACATATTCCCGTAGTGGAACCTCACCATACAGAGCGAGTCATTAAAGATTCATGGCGTGTTAAATGCCAAAATTCCTTCCACACCTAGTCCGCCTCGATGCAAACGCAATAAAACGTAGCAAATGAGTGATCAGTCTTCAAGTGTTGATGATGTTGCGGAATACTGGTAGTTCGTAGGCACCACACTGTCGTCGTTCTGTTTACTGAGCTAGGCGAACCTTCAAGTGTTCATTCTTTCGTGATAACACCTCTGTAAAACGCTACTTGCTCAGGGCACGTGTAGCATTACACAAAATCTTACTGTTTATGATGACATTACAAAAATGCCCACACAAGCTTGATATATTACTCTGGTTCTGTATACTGTCGTTTATTGCCTAATGCCCAAAGGCCCGGCTCCTGATAGTGACGTAACGAAGGAATTTATGGAACTAACGCAAAGTTTGATCGCCATCGGTGTCCATGGATGACCCACACAAGGCAGACGAATATTCCGTGCAATCTTCAGCCTCGATAAATGTGACATCAAACTATTTATACAGAACAATTACCGGGTGTTTCAACTGGGATCCATGTTGGAGTGGGCGAGGCAGAAATCGTTTCTGAAAAGGAGAAAGAAAAACTCCTCTTAAAAGCGTTTCTGATAGTTGCAAAGTTGTGATAAACAACGCAAAATCTTTGGCAAAATCTGGCAAAGGTTCACCAAGTGTAAGCCATGAAATACCAAATGAAACACAGCACCAAAAGAGCGGCGGTGGTCGAAAAGAGTGATGTCTACAGTACAAGAAACTTTCCTGGAAGCCGAATTAGTTTGGACAACGGGACAAACAGCTGCCCATAGGCAATGGAGAGCCTGTTCACTGTTCTTAATATGTGCCGGCAATTGTCAATGGAAATAGGAAAGACGGATAGATAATGAATGCCTCAAAATGCAGAAAATATGGGGAAGGCGAAAAGTAAAAGACATTATCAAGTGAGAATCAGACTAGCTAGGAATGACTGCCAACACAAAAAGATAGAGACTATTATATGAAAATCGACAACGGAAAAAGAACCTCGAAAAATTCCTGCACACAAAAACAGACAACAAAGAAACAACACCAGTTAGCGAAAACCGACTCAAAATACACACACGTACAACGACCATGACGCAGAAAAAAGGAAGACCACGGACAACAGAGAGAACCGACGCTTACTGTCCACAGTGACGGTTCGGTTGAACTGTCCTANAAGGTAACGGGTAACCGGTGTGCGTGCGCGCGTGCTTGTTTTTGTTTGGTTGTGTGGGTGTGTGAATATGAGTGTACGGTTTCGAAACGAACTGGCGCTTACTGGTCACTGTGACAGTTCGGTTGAATTGTCGTATCACGGTTGCGTTGTCGTTGGATGCAAGTAGTACGCAGTTGACGACGAACGAGGTTTCATGCGTGTAGTAGCCCGGCGGATTTCGGGGTCTGATCTTTGCCCGATTGGCCGTGTGGTCAATCTCGACGAGGTCCGCCGCGGCACCGTTCACAGTCGCCCTCCATACTCCATGCAGTTCGTCAGCAACACCAAATGGGAGTAGGTCGCATTCCAACTGCTTGTTGTCACCGACATTCAAAACGGGGTCGCCTGTGTTTACTCCATCCAGCGTGTCCGTTATGTTGATAGCTACAAGGTATTGATGTTAGTTTTATTTTCTCATTTCTATACCGTTTTGCTTTTCAGTCATTTTGATATTTTGCTTTAATATTTAGTACGTTCCTGTTGTTGGTGCTATTCATTCGGAGTATCCTATTTTTTTTGTAGGTAGTCTATTTTGGCCCGTTATTTTCGTGTTTCTATTTAACCTTTGTTTTCTATTTTTACGATGACCTATTTTTTGTAATTTCAGATTTCTGTGTTTGTTTCTTCGTTTTTTATGCTATCTTTGTAACATTTTTTTCTCTCGTGCCAAATATGTACCAAGCTGTACTATGTTCTCGTGCTTATTCTATCCTCCGTATAATCCTGTATGCGTTTTGTCGTAAGATGGTGTAACTAGGTTTTTGAAGTGCTCCATTTAGTGAAATTTTGGTAGCTGAATATAACCAATTTTCACTTCAATTTAATGAATTTCCTTAAGTGCAAGCGTTTGCACCGCCATTTATCAGTTGAAGCAGAGTGATTCCTTAACGTTTTAGCTTGCACAAGTTTAGGCTAACCAAAAGTATCAACCTCGTGTATAACACGTAACTTTACTCTGCTTATCGCCTTTTGGTTCATCAGAATGCCAAATATTTTGTCCTAAATCAAGAGCGGACAGAATTGTGATTCGTGGGCGCGTCGAAAAACTGGATCAAACTGTTGACCAGTAACAAAATTCTGCCAGGCACATTCATCCATCGGATGTATCCGTTTGGCTTGCTGTGAAGGAAATCATGAAAGAGGTGTCACTTATATGGCAGTGCATGCGCGATATCTACAAAACAAAAACTCATCGTTTGTGTGATCAATGCGAACGACAAACTTACCATTAAGTACGCGCAGCTGGATCTTCCTCACCGTTTCACCACTCATTATTACACAGTCGTAGACGAAGATCGCCACTTCGTCAGTTGATTTGACGGAAAATAATGACGCATTTCTGGATCGGAATAGGTTATGCTCATCCTGACGACGTTCCCACCAGATCGAAACAGGCGTGTTCTTTGGTAATCGCCAGTCATTAACCATACATTTGAAAGTCGCAGCCGAACCAGAAATAACGCGTGTCTCCGGATCCACGTAACCCAAAGGGTACCACACTGTTCCAACAGAACATTAGGTAAAATTTACTTTTGAATTTACTCCACTAATATATTTCCAGTTTTGGACAGAACTTCCTCATTTTCTTTCTCCTTTTCATTCCTGACAAATCACTAGCAATCGGTATGATGACACATCCTCAAAATTTGTGCATAAGCTAGCGTATGAAGCGCCTCAACCACGCAACTGCTCTCAACAGCCTAAGCGATTTAGACCATCGAACAAACAAACGCTCCGAAACATTTCGGGTAGAAAGAACGTTAACAATTTTTCGAATCGTTTTCAGCTCCGTCGTGTATCTGATCAGGGGTCAAAGATGACACAGGAATCTTTGGTTCCTTCATAAACTCTGGTTCATTCATCTGGTGACTCAAGCTGTCCATTCGTTGAATGCCCATGGATGATAGTTCAGCCGGGTTTTGTGATGATTTCACGTACTTCCGTTCGTTGTGCAAGGAGTATTCTTGGATGAACGAAAGCTGATTGGCCACAATGAAACAAAATGTTTTGCAGTTATTATTGATGTAATAAAGCATTATTTCTGAGTCTGTTCAAAGAGTCGCCGCGGAGAAGTCAGGTAAATTCTTCATAAGTAGCTTGTTGACCCTGGCGGCTAATGCGGCGGCAGTAAGTTCTAATCTCAGAACGTAACAGGCTTCAACTGAGAACTATATTTCCCTTATGAAGAGACCCTTGAATTTTCCGTCATTCTTGCTATGCAAATCGTTTATACCGCTTCTGTCATACTACTTTTGTATAAAAAATTTGGTCAGCTGTAAATTCGTCTTAATTCATCAATTTGCGACCTGGTTTCGATGGTGTGTTGACTGCTGATCCATTGCGGCTTTACCTGTTTTTTTCGGAGCAACTCGCCGTTTGTCGAAAAAACGTTGAGGTTTGTAATTTTGTACCCATATAACTACATTCATTTTTATAGTACAGCACACTTGTGTAACCATTCGTTCGGGGTTTTGCTGGTTTGGTTTCTAACTTTGGTGCTCGTAACTCAAGTAATCTAAACAATCAGCACAATGGATTTGGATTAGCTTTAAAAACAGTGCTTTCATTGTGGTGCTGCAAAAGACAATGTAAACTCCGTGACTCACATTCTACGTATGGAATGTGTACTTACAATTCCGGTTGTTCTGTGTTTTCTCCTGACGAACGTAAGTTTCACCAAGGTGAGCTGTGCACATGTACACGCCCTGCTGTCTCTGGTGGCTGAATGGCCAGGAGATGTGTTCGTCCAGGAAATCAAGGACATCATTTCCTTCTGTGACCGACACCGAATACCAAGGGTAATATTCATCGGCTTCTAAATGGCATTCGGGTATATTGAAGCGTACAGATGGACGCGCTGTATCAAGGAGGGAGGGACC